CTCACTTCCATCGAGACGACAATGCCATCCGGTTTACTGCCACTCACATCCAATTTGCCATCATCCACTCATGGACTACCGTCATTCCCAAGTTCGCCGAATGCATCCATGGCAGCGGCTGCAGTTGCAGCAGCCGCAGCGTTTTCCAACTTTCCCATCAACCCCATTGAGGCAGTCGTCGCCGCAATGACTGCTGCATCCGGTGGCCCGTGGAATGCAACAGGGCAGCAACAGCAGCAAATCGGCGCCCAATCAGGACTGGCACCAATATTGTATCAAGGTCCACCATCCTCGGTCACCCTGTCTTCATCTTGTGCATCACCAATCGTTGGTATGACTGGTATAACCGGTAGCAACGCTGGCGGTGGCGGTGGTAGTGGTGGTGGAATGATTCCTTCGGCCACCAGTGGGATGCCACGCAAATCTCCAAATCAGATGCGTGTTCTGTGTGATATATGCAATAAATGGATTTGTAATAAATACTTCTTGCGCACACATCGTGCAAACAAGCACGGAATTACTGATAACAACTTCTCCTCCACACCGTCTATGGACGGGTATAAAACAAACCAGTTAAAAATACCTGGTGTTAGATCCCAAACGAGTTTCCGTGGCAAGGCTTCCATCCAGTCATTAGATGATCTACAAGCTATGCCCAGTCCAGACACAAATGAGTCAAACTCACAAGGTGCCAACACCATTCGTTTGAGTGAACGACCGCGGAGTCCGAAGCACTCCACGCAAATAACCATGGATACCGGATCGGATATGGATAAAATGGAATCACAGGAGAAGTTTATACAAGCATGGAAAGCAGCTTACGAAGCGGGGCCACCTACGGGTCGCGATGGATTCGGTCCGGCCTATCCGTTCCCTTTACCCGGCCAAATGCCTCCTTTCATCAACCCCGCAATGTTGCTTCCCGGTTTTCCCCCGGGACCGGTTATGGCACCGTTCCAATCCGGTCTAGGCCCGAACCCGATGATTCATCCACAATTGAACTACATGCTTCCTTTGTCCCATGGATTAGAATCATCCGTTAGTATGGGGAAGAGTATCACCAGTGATAACCCCCGAACGCAAAACGGACAAATTCAAAGTGAACAGGATGAGTCCAGTGATATGCTGACCAAGTCCATGGTTCAGTCTGCATCCCCGATTGACGAAAAGCACACAGATTTGAAGGTAGGTATAACGCGCGCCCCCTGTGAACGGATATTTTATTTTTCTCTCTGTGACTCTCTATTTTACCGTTAACTTTGTGCATAATGGAAATCAAAAACACGTTTCATTTAGTTGTCCGTAAAAGATGATGAGGTAGAGTTTGTATGGTCATTTTCCCAGTCGTTTCTTGTCACCAAATAATAGACAACAAAAACACATCATCATAAGTTTGGTAATGCTCAGTGAATTTCGCTCCACTGTATCTCGTTGTAGGACTATGACGATGACACCAGCATAAGTGTCATTCCGCTCTTATTTTTCAGTACAGAAGAAACAAGGGGAAATTTTTATTTCCCTCGGGAATACCGATATTTAAAGATGTTCTGGAGTTAAGAAACAGACCAGGATAGTTATGAGACAATCCAAACCCTATCTTAGTTACATTATTGGTGTTGTGTATCAGATTAGTATGCTTTTATTCCAACAATTCCTACTAT